CTTTATATTATCAAAGATAAACTACTTAGTAGATATCATGACTAATTTTAAGTATCCAAGTTCTCTATATACTAATTTAGGATTTCATTAAATTCCTATACACCTTGATGATAAAAATAATACCACTTTTATTACTGATCAATGAACCTTGTATTATCAAGTCATGCCTTTTGGTTTGGAAAATATAAGAGCTACATAATAACAAATGATGAATAAAGTTTTCAAGAATCAAATAAGCTAAAATATAAAAGCCTATATTGATGATATGTTAGTAACAAATGTGACTTTTGAGAAACATCTTCAGAAATTGTAAGAGGTCTTCTCCATTCTATATCAGTACCAGATGAAGTTAAATCCTACCAAATGTTTCTTTGCAATGAAGGGGGAAATGTTTTTGGGTTTCTTGGTTAGAAATAGAAAGAATTAGTCCAATCATGAGAAGATACAAGTTATCATAAACATAACTCCTTCTTAGTCTATGAAAGATGTCTAAGGCTAACAAGAAAGATCGCAACCTTCAATAAATTCATTTTCAATGGGAAATGTTATTTTTTATTATTTAAAACTCTAAAAAATATCTCCAATTTTGAATAAACTCTAGTGTGTCAGCAACCTTTGAAGAGCTAAAGCTCTATTTATCCTTCCTTAAAGATTCTTTCCTAACCCAAAAAATGAGATAACTTTTTGTTTTTTAGGGGCTACAGACTTAGCAATCAGTGCAATATTGACACAAGATTAAGGAGTCCTAAAACTTGTATATTATGCCAATAAGGTGCTTTATGATATAAAAACAAGATATATGAAGATTGAAAATATAACCCTTGTATTGATTAGTGCTGTAAAAAAACTAAAACCATACTTCTAAATGTACCAAATTATTGTGTTAACTGACCAGCCTTTAAAGAAAACTCTCTATAAATCTAACTTGTCAAGGTGTCTAGTCAAGTGGATCATTAAGTTGAGGGAGTTTAAACTCTAGTATCAACCTAGATAACCTATCAAAGGATAAACTCTAGCTGATTTTATCATAAAATGCTCACTTATAAAATCATCTCAACAAGTGGTCAAATGAATAACAATAGACTTAAATTCCACCATTGATCTATGGGTGTTACATATTGATAAAGCATCAAACATTAACAAGAGTGGAGTTAAACTTGTGTTAACTAGCCTTAAAAGAGCAAGTTTTTAAACATGTAATTTGTTTGAGCTTTCCATCCTCCAATAATATAGTTGAGCATAAGGATCTTTTAGTTGACCTTAGTCTAATAAATAGCCTGAAGTTATATCCACTCTTTGTGTTTAATGACTCCTAATTTGTGGCTTTGCAATGTCAAAAGTTATTTAGGGTAAAAAAGCCTTCCATGAAAACTACCAATATAAGATTCTTTTACATGCCATTTAAAGAAAAGAAAAGAAATCAAATTTATATCTTTAAAGTCGATCATTAAGATAACAACAAAACTTATCTCTTTTCTAAGTTGTACAACCATTATATAATTGAGTTACTAACTTATATCTAGGTTGAGGTGTTAGAAAAATTGATCATTAAAGAAGAAACTAGTATAGTGATAACGACTATATAGGCAGCCACATCATATGAAGACTAGGGAACCCCAGTTAAACAATACTTGCTCACTTAGAAGTTACCACAAAACATGATTGAAGCAATCAGACTAACATCAAGAGTGTTAAGGTATTGTCTTCAAGGTGTTGAATTATATTGACGATCAACCATTACTCCATTATTAAAGTGTATATCGTTAGATGAGAGCGAGTATGTACTCAATGAGAACCATAAACATAGAAGCGAGGGCCTTAACTTCTAAAACAACACATTAAAGCTTTTATTTGCCTATTATTTTAAAAAATGCCACATATATGGTAAGGAAACATGACAAATGCCAACAGTTCACTCTAGTATCTTGCTAAACTTTTACGAAGCTAAAAACCATTGCTTCTTCATTGTTGTTTTCTTAGTAGAGAATGAATATATTGGGACCATTTTTAAAAGCTTGTGGAAAAAAACACTAGAAAATGAATATACTAGGACCATTTCCAAAAGCCTGTGGAAAAAAATAGTTCATTTTGATAGCAATTAAGTACTTCAACAAATGGATAGAAGTAGAGGCTCTAACTGAGATAACCATTTGCAAAATTATTTTCTTCTTATAGACCTCGAATATTGATAACTAGTAATAACACCTAATTCAATAACAAAAAGATAAGGAATTGATGTTAAAGGCTCAAGATTGAGCATTAATTCTCTTTGATCTCATACCCATTAAAAAAATGGACAAGACAAGATCACTAATAAAACCTTAATAAAAAAGGTTAATAGTGAATAAGATAAACTACTAAAATCTTGTTGAATGAGTTGAATCACACAATAAAATTTTACTAGTGAAACACCATTCCTACTAACCTATAACACAAAGGTTGTAATCTCTACAAAGATAGGATGCCCTAATTATAAAGTATTACACTTTTCCACCAATAACAATGATGAATAGTTAAGGGCATATTTGGACTTGATCAAAGAAGTCATACTTAGTGTGATAGTTAAGAACAAAACATTTTAATATTGAGCCACTTAGTACCACAATGCAATAATAGCAAATAGAAGAACAAAATAACACTCAAATTGATGGAGAGATTCAGAATTTTGTTAATACACTAGATAAGTACATTGTAAACTTTGATGGAAAGAGTTCAAAGCGGGAGATATGGTATTGAAAAAACTAGAGGCAGCATACAACTTTAAAGAAAAGGAAAAATTGGTGCCAAAATAGGATTGCATATTTAAGGTGGTTAGAGTCATTAAGTTTAACCATAGTTTTGAAACTCAGCCTGACGAGTTGACCAAGGACCCTGCTGATCCGAGGTTGGAACCAAACAAAATTGAACAAAAAATAGAGGAAGAAAAAACCCAGTATGACTTGGTTGACTCAATAAAAAACCCGATTGCAACTCGTTGACTTTTTTTTTTCTTTCTAAAACGACATTGTTTTGATTTAAAAAAAAAAAGAATTGACCTGGTCAAAACCCGAAACTCGAGCCTTGAACTAGGCCGGGTCTGAAAACTATGAGTTTAACACATATCATATATAGGATAAAGAAGGAAAAATACTTCCCCATGCATGACATTCATACAATTTAAAGATGCGTTTTTGTTGAATCCTCATGAAATTAATGCAATCAAGCTAGATATTTGAATCTCTTACGTCTTCAGTTAGTTTTGTATAAAATGACTCTTGTATCTCTAATAATTTTACATCTCCTTTATATATCTAGTATTACTTTTATGTATATTTTGAACTAGAATTTTAACAATGAAATCATATTTCTCCAAGTTAATCTTCATATCTCCATATTTTTTTCTTCAAAGTTCATTTCTTTTGGTCATTTTTTCCAAGTTAATGTTTTGTAATTTTCTTCTTGATAATATCTATATCTATATGGATTATCTATCCTGATTATTTTTTTTCAAAAAATAAAATTTTTTACAAGTTAAATTTCTCAGCATAGATCAAACTAAACTAAATAGTAGCTTGGCCTGACCGATCTCTGCTTATAACACCATCTAATTGACCTATACTTGCAGTTTGGTCTTATTGAAGCTCTAAAGTCATTCATACCTAACTCAGATTTATTTTTTTCTTGAAGTTGGATTATTTTTCTTTAATAAATTTTTCTTGATAATGTTAGTATCTAAATTAAACTCAACTAACCAAGCCTCATAGGACTTGATCTTTGTTGACCCACCATATTTTCTCTCTTATTCATTCCCTTTTTTATTTTTATCACCCATCTATTTTTATGGGAATATCTATTTATATGTTATAACTTCATCTATATTTTAGCTGAATTGCCACCTGTTATAGGTGACATGAATAAACTATCCTTGATATAAGCTATGAGCTATACAATAGAATTACCACCTTAAATAAGCTATATATAAATTTTACGAGAGAAAATAGATTTTTTTCTCATCTCAAAACATAAGAAAAACATCCCACTCTCTTTATCACTTTTTTTATATAAAATTTATTTGAAAAATTCTAAACTAACTTATGCATAAGAAGGTCCTTTTATTCGTGAAGTTTTTTGTAGCTTCTTAACATCTTGTGTAACTTCATTGAACTCATAACAAAGATTGCATTTTTTTTTTGTTTTTTTCTTTAATTTTGGTATTTTTTTTATTAATGATTTAATTGAAAGATGAACCTCGAGAAGAAGAAGAAAGAAGAATCATGCTAGTAGAAATGGTAATATATGTCATTTTCCTTTCATTTAACTTGGACCATAGTTATTAAATCTGGATCGGTCTGATAGGTCAATCTAGGACCTGGTCGACCCAATGGTTAGATCGATCCAGGTAAGGTGAAAGACCAACAATAACAAAAAAATAGTCAAACTTGATTGACCCGTGACATGAGCAACCTAGCAAAACTCGATAGAGACTCCTTTTTTTTTTATTTAAAAGTGTTTTTTCTTCTAGCCAGAAACCTTTTTTTTAAGTATTTTTGGTTGGTTATTAATTCTTTTTAAAATTCACTATATAAATACTAATTTTTATTTTATTTTTTCAATATAAAATTTAAAATCCTTTAATATATATATATATATACAAGAAAAAAATATATTTCAATATGAATTTTGAAACCTTTTAGTATATACACTCTATATTTATAAGAAAAAAATGATGTTTTTTTTTAATATAGGATAAATTTTTTTTTTAAATACTTTAATTTAAAACAATAACATAATATTTTTTTAATATAAAAAATATTTTTAAAATAATATTTTAAACTTATTATTCATAATATATAAAAATTATTTTTTAATTTTTTCTAGTAGACTCCGATCCACCCATATAATTCAAAAACCGGTGTCTTAAACGAGTCAATCCTGTTCGATAACTATGATTATACAGGAGAAGGTCGCTGATGATGGCGTCTTCTTTTAATTAAAACATAAATTAAAAATAGAAAGAAAAAGAAATAGAAAGGGGTCAAATATCTTGTTGTGAGGTGTCAACAGAACAGAGTGCCCGAGAATTCCACTTTTTCTTCGGTCTTGGTGTTTCTCCTCTACCTCTCGCTCTCCCTCTTCACAAACCCGATCATTCTTCTCTTCTGATTCAGGTTCGCTTTTCTTTTATTTCATTATTATTCTGTTTCTTTTCATTTCTAGGGTTTGTGGTCTCGTTTACTCCCATCTTTTTCTCTGCTTCTGATACTTCTTTTCTTTTGAAGCAAAACAGTGCTTGCTTTTATGTTACCATTATTCTGTGTTTTGTTACTGCCAAATTTTATGGAAAAAAAGAAGAAGAGAGAAATCCTTATGTGAGGCTTCTTTATGTTGTTTTTGGGTATTTTTTCTGATTCAAAAGAATGGGCTTTGATTTTTATATAAAAACTGGAACGTTTAAAGAAGGGTGCTTTCCATTTGGGGTGTTAAATGCCTTCTGTGTGCGAGAATGAATTGAAGTTAGCAAAGAGAACGTAAAAGAAAATTCGATTTCTAATGCTTTATATGTATATATATAATTTAATTTTATTAATTTCAGTTAATTCTTATTATCCTGGCTGTGTTTTTCGTGTGCAATATGGGTTAAGGGTTTGTTCTAATTAGATGCATGATTGGTGTGGTGCAGGTTTGAATTTAGAAATGGGGAAAAGAAAGTCAAGAGCAAAGCCACCACCCAAGAAGCGGATGGACAAGCTTGATACTGTTTTTAGTTGCCCCTTCTGCAACCATGGTACAAGTGTTGAATGTCGCATGTAAGTTCTCAGTCACTTTCTTTTTCATCTGATTTTTATCATTTTTGTCTTATTGGAAAATCATTTTTAAGAATTTTTGGGATGTTGCGCTTCCACTATTGAGGGACATTTGCTATCATTAATTGAGGAGGATCTATGCCACTTGTTACTGTGTATTGAAGCTATCATTAATTTCCTTTTCTTAATTTTTGCTTCAGTGATATGAAGAACTTGATTGGTGAGGCTGTGTGTGGGATTTGCCAGGAGAACTTCAGCATGACCATCACAGGTATTTTGCTCTGTAAATTATGAATGCCAAAAGTAGAAGAAATTGATAGTCCTTAACTAGAAGCAGGGGCTTTCCAATTTTACACGTGAAGGTAGATTTTGCTTGTCAAAAAAAGTTAATGGGAATCAGAACATCTAAGTTCTTTAAATAATAGGTGTATGCTTATATGCTGCTAGTTCAGGGGATGATAATGCAAAAGTTCAAAGCAGGGTTACTTAATTGTTTTATAATTTGGAAGAAGAAAGTTAACTTTAATTTTTGATATTGAGCCAGATGTGTAGGATCTGGTGGTTTTGTGCGCTGCCTTGGCCTGGAGTACTTGGTAGCTTGTTTTTGGTCATGTTTAATTCAATTTGGTGAGCTCTAGTTTATTTTATATCAATCCACTTCAGTTTGAGAAGTTAAAAATCAATTTAGGTAGCAATCTGAAATAAATACTGAAACTTAACTTATAAACAACCATATCACTCCATGATGTGTAAAAATAGACTTCAATAATGTCATGATGGTATCATTATGATTTGATTAATCCAGCTTCAGGTTCTGTGCCATGAAACACATTTTAATGCTTTGGAAATTGAAGAGAACTTGAAAAAGAAAAAAGTGAACTGAGATTGGAGAGTGGAGATATACGTAGAAGGAAATGATTAAGAATGAGAAACAAGAAGGGATGGTAAGGCTGGAGTCCAAAGGAGAGAATGAGAAAGTGGAAAGAGAAGCAGTGAACTATATCTTCACTTGTTAGATGGTGACTGCCAAAGAATTTTGAGTTCTTATTTGATGTTGTAAAATAATATCTAAGGTTGTAGTCTTTCTCCTCCAGCCCTAAGTCGCCATCTTACGAGTTAGAAGTTGCCACACCTTAGTACTGTGAATGTGACTAGCATGTGAGTGACACTTGAGCCTATTTAGGCAGCCTCTCAATCTGAGTTAAAAAACTAAGGATAAAACATACTTACACCTCTGCGTCCCATGCTTTGCTTAATTTGAGATTAGCCCTGTATCTTTAAATCCTCAATTTAGATTCCTTGAACCATATTTTTCTTCTTGCTGGAATCACCAACACTTTTTAGTCTAGGCTGTTGAGGATTTGACGGCACAAAGTGCACATGACGTCAAGTCTTGGTGTGAAAACCATCCAATAACCACCATCTCTTCGATTTGCAGCAATAAGCCAAATTTTGCACGTCCATTCACTTTTTATTCCAAAGATACCATAAGGATAGTAGCAACAAAACTAAAACATCAAAAACAGAAAGACCTAATGAAATAGGACATGACATCCGACAACCACCCAAAACCCCAACTAAAATCTTGTGGCAAAGCATGCTCAATATGAATCAGTCTTTGCTGATTGAATTCGCAAGTTATCCTGTGGAATCCTAGGGATTAAAAGCTTTCCTTAGGATAAAGAGAACTAGTGCTGTGTAGAAAATGGAGTTTTAGAGAAGACTTTCATTAATTTTATGGAATGACTTTTGCCTGAACATTAACGAGAAAATGCATAAATTCAGGATTGAAAACCCATTATCTAGAGACTTTCCAGAATTTCATGTACCCTTGATAGTTAAGGATGTTGGGATGTGACAGGATTTTCTGTTTTCCTGTTAGTTATAAGAGCTTCAGGAGTGCATTGGTGTTAATCTGTTTGAAAATTTATGATTTCATGTAGCTAGATCAGAAAACAATATGCTGTTGTGCCTGGTGGTTGTGGTGCATGTAAATGTGGTCAAGCATTATAGGCAATTTTAGATTTGCAAATAGGAGGAGCCTAACAAATTCTATGGCAATTCCCCCTAATATCGTTTGACCTTTTATTTTGAGATATCGGATATGCAATTTTTTTTTAGCCCATCGGGACTTCCTAGCCTGCAGACAAACCATTTCAATTAAGAATCCATTGGAAATAGCTAGTTCTGTGTTCTTCTGCAGTTAATTACTGGTTTCTGTGATGTTGTCAAGAACTTTCAATATGCTTGCATTACTGGTTTATTTTTTCCACCAAAGGTTGTGATGCTTCATATGATCTATCTCTGTGAGGTTTGACAAGTATGATTAGGCCTTGTACATTAACTATCATACCAGTTTAAGTCATGATTGTTTAGTCTGCAATTTTTAATGTATGTCTGAACTTCTGTTCCCACCCATTTTTTTGCTCCCTTCTTTGATGTGTGAGAACAGAGATGAACTAATCTTCCTTTTCTGTTGTGTTTTTGCAGCTTTGACGGAGCCCATAGACATGTAAGTTGACATGCATATTTCATATTTGCTCAGAATACGACAAGAATCTCAAGATATTTACTTTTCTAATTGTTTTTTACTGTAGATATAGTGAATGGATTGATGAATGTGAAAGGGTCAACAGCCTGGAAGATGATGGTGCTTAGCCAGCTTGTGTGACAAGTTAGATGGTTATATTCTCTTACACCGTGGGAGATAAATCTCTAATTTAAGAAATTATATTAACATGTCGTTTGGATAAAATCTCAAGGACCGTTGGGGGTAACTATGAAAACCTACATATGCATAGGGCATGTCTAGTACCACATCATGCTTGATAAATGGACCTTGTGTCTTGTATCTTTGGTTTGTTAGGATGATAAACTTCCTTCAATGTGCTTTGTGTGTCTGAAACACTCAATAAACAGTGCTTCTCTTTGGGGAAATGCTGTACCGTGTATAAATTTCACAGTATGAGTATGTTCAAGTTTTCATCTGCTTTTGATTGATGTGGTAGCCAAAAATGAAGGTGCATATTTGTTATGATTTCGGGTTACAACTTACAACAGTTGGATTAGGCGTGCAGTTTTTAATTTAGGTTTTGGCTTAGAGAAGTCCATGTTTTTGGAAGTGAAAGAGGATTCATAAGAACGAGTGCAAAATTGGAGTAAAAAATAATCTTGTGGAAGTAAACAGGCGTGAATCAACTTATTTAGGAACCAAAAGAGTGAGCTCTGGTTGTTAATTCATCAGCTTTTCAGATATCACTAATAAATAGCCACTGTTCTGTAGCATGTAATAGCAGTTATAATTTAATTGTTGTTATATTGTAATAATTGTGGTATTTTCAGACTCTCTTCCTCACCCAAGCCATGGCTAGAAGGAATAGAGTATGGTTTTATTTTTTTCCCCGAGTAACCCTAGGTTCTGTTTGTTGTATAATATATTTTATAAATGAAAAATAGTTTACATGTGAAGTGTTTTCTTATAAATGTTTTACATGTAAAATAATTTTTAATATTTGATTGAAAATGTTTTCTAGTTTACGTGTAAAATATTTTGCAATGGTAGTGATGAAAAAGATAGTGGTGAGGGAAGAAACGGTGAAATGGTGTTGGTGATTGAAATAGTTGGTGGATAATATTGTAAATGAATTATTATTTATAAAATATTTTTTGAAATTTTATAAATTAAAAATATTTTTTAGCAAATAAATTAAATTTGAGGGTCTATAAAATATTTTTTAATGAATAGTTTTTTTATAAAATATTTTACAAGGAACAATGGTAGAAAAATAATTTTTGAATAAATTTTTTTTTTGACTAACATTTTTAGAAATTATATACAAAAAAATCTAGATAACATCTTCATGAAAAATATTTTTTTTGAAAAACAAACGTTTAATTGAAAAATAGCATAGTTTGGAAAATTAAATGTGATATCTATGACTCCATTCAAAAACAATTTGTTAGATTTCTCGAGCTTTTTAAGTAATCTATGACTCCATTCAAAAACAATTTGTTTTTGATCATTTCTCGAGCTTTTTAACTCTTATAAAAAAAATCAGCTTAATATTTCAAAGTTTTACATAATTCAACACAATTTTAATATACATAACCTTTAATTTAATTTAATTTCAATTAAATTTTTAATTAAATAAAATTAATTCTTATAATATTTAAGTATATTATTTAACTATATCTACGTGGATAAGCTTAAACCACACATGGATAATTATGCTTTTCTAACTAAATGTTATTGTTCATGAAAAAATGTCTTTTAAGATGCTTAGCCTCCTTAACTTTCTAAAATCCATCACAATATAAAGATAGCGTAGTATTAGTCATGACATATCTCATTTTTATATTAAATAATGTATCTAATATATATATATATATAAATTATTATTATTATTATCATCTATAATATATAAACAAGATATTTAATAAATATTATAAAAGAAACTAATGCATATCGATTGATTCTATCTTGAAAAACAAGCCTCGTAATTAGATTTTATAAACGCCTTGAAAAATGTATTCATGTTGATGTAATAATTCATCGTGTTATACTTATATATCATCTCATGCAACTCTCTAAATCAATTGTCGAGTGTTGCTTTACAAGTATATTATTTTTTTTAGTATGCTAAAGATTTAGATAAGTTACAGGAATTACAAAACAATTATCTTCTCTTCTACCTTAGTGACTACCATTATGCAATTCATTACTTGTATCGACATAATCTCTTATGTGTTGAGATAAACCAAATTGTTGCATTATCTGATCAAGACAATATATTTTAACAATATCAAAGTAGTGTACTGGGACACTACTAGCCATAAATCATCCATTTCCTAGCACATTAGAGAAGTTGCTAATATCAAATCATATATAACTTATTAAGACATAGAATTCATAAATAAGAAAACAATTTGACACCAAAAAATAAAGTCACAAATAAGAAATAAGAAATAATTATGTGATGCATATTTGATGGGACTATTGTACATCCAACTTGTCTTCATAGAACTTATAAAAGTGGGTAAGATTTACAATAAAATATTTAGAGTCACGCTATTTGATTGACAAGCCAAAAAGTTAGTGCATTTTTAGTTATTAAAAATTATTCTTATTGAGCTCCTATTCAAAGTTGACTCCCTATTTCAGCTTTGAACATTATATCCTTCTAACTTTCAGATGACTGATGTGAATATGCGCTCCTACGACCAAAGCTAAATATATTTAGATTAAAACTATTATTTAATGTTTAAGAAATAATTAAAATTTTAAAAAGAAATTATTAACTAAGAATATTTAAAATAATTGTATCGAAATGAATAGTAAATAATAATCTATTTGTTTATTTTATTTCATGCATGTTTTACATACCTCCTAGTGCAAATATGAAAGCATGTTCTTCCCCTAGCCATAAGATGTTGATTAATACTTAAAAATGTATTTTTATCAAGGCTTTATATCATCATTTTGCATTTGAAATATCAATAACTCCTTAACTAAAGCATGCTTTATAATAACAAGTCTGATACCATAAGATGCGTTTAATTTATGATAAATATTCATCTTAAATGCAGACCTATCATATAAATAAAAGGATTGATTGATGAGTTTAAGTACTGAAATTAAAAGGACAAAGAAAGGGTCAAACTTAGAAAAGAGATATTGATTCAACTCAAACTGAAACACTATTTGGTCATTGGATCATATCTGAAGCTGTAGTTTTTGGATTTAGGTCTGTTCTATATGGATGAAAAGTTAAGACATAGGCCTAAAACATTCATGGAAAGACAAGACTCAATTCTACTGTTTGGAAGTTCAAATTTTAGCAACAACGGAGAAATTCGAAGCTGTCCTATAGCCTAAACACTGTTCATTGTTTAGCCCATATCTCAAGTTCTAGAAATCCAAATAACCTCAACTTTTTTGTTAAAAAGTTGAGACAATTTCCTAGACAATTTTCTAGAACTTACATAATTTAAGTCTATATAAATTTAGATGTTAGCAATGATATTTTGTTTAGACAATAAGATAAGGATTGTCACCAAGTCAAGATGTGACCACCATCTTAACAATTAGTCAATAAATCAATAGTTTTTAATTTTGACCTATAAAAGGAGGTATTTGTCATGCATTTAGGCATCTTGGTTTTCAGATCAAGATCATGTTCATGCTCTCTTTTTATTGTAATGCTTAAGTTTTGCTTATATTAATCTTTTGTTTATGCTTCTCATTTCCTTTTCTTTACTTAGTTAACTTTTATCTTATTTATGTTCTTATTTTGTTTATTTATACTTCTCTCTTTTATTATGTGTAGTTAAATTTATTATGTCAATGTGAAAAGGCTACACTAATGGTGTAAGAATAAATATAGTGTAAACTCTATATAGACTTTAATATTTAATACTAACATGTTTTGTATTTGTTATCTTGTTCACTCTTAATACTTTGCTTGTTAAATGATTAATCTAGATTTATGTTGTATAAACCTCGGTATAACAAATACTTGGCACTTTCATAGCTCAACTGTATGATATAACTGACAGTTATGCTATGAAAGGAACTTGATTTGTTGTTAACATAAGTTATAATCATGAATATTTGACAATATTTACAAGTATTAGCATTATTCAAATAAGATAACTAATGTAATCACGTTAACAATTTATAATATGATTGGAATCTTCTTTGTATGTGGTTTCCAGTTGAGTAATAAGAGTTTATACTATTTTGGTTTGAAATATTATTAGTGGATCCTCTAACCTTGACATTTGTTTTTATTGTTGTTTAACCCTCACATTAATCTAACAATCTCAAAGTCATCTTTAACCTTTTCTTTTTCTTATTCTTATTATTATTATTATTATTATTTATAATTTATGTAGTTAACCTTCTTATGGTTCGACCCTAGTCTCTATTATTATTATTATTTATAATTTATGTAGTTAACCTCCTTATGGTTCGACCCTAGTCTCACTAGGTTATTTATTATTTTGACACTCCTATACTTGAAAGAAGATATCAATCTTATGATCGTGTTAGATGTCCTGAAAGTCCTTAAGGAGTATCAGAAAGTAAACTAAAATTGCATTACTAGTTGACACGACTAAAAGATTGATATCTTTTTCCAATCGTAGGAGTGTCGAAGTAATAAATAACCCGGCAAGACCGGGGTCGAACCACAGGGAGGTTAATTGTACAAATTATAAA